TAGGATCATATGTTATCTAGCAATATCACTCTATAATGACTCTTTGACATATAGATCTTTCAAGAGACATTGAAAGAGCATTTAATTCCATGAGCTCCATAGGGGAACTAGGATTTTTCTTACATGCCCAATTGAAATTCCTGATGGAATTAATCGTATCTGAGATGAAACATGATTTTTTCCTGTCAAGTTTAAAAATGCTTGGAAAGCGGTCAGCAAACATCCCGTTTTCGGACCAATATTCTAACCAAAAGAGGGTATTCCTTCCTGAATTGACTTGGATCTGGAGTATATCTGAAGCACAAATCCCTATATCCCGCAATTACAAAAAACCTTAACAATGTTATACCAAGTGCCTGAAAATGTCTTTTTGCCAAGAGAATAGATGGGCTTTTTCAGACAATGGTGAATTCCGCATACAACTTGACACCAGAGCGCATTCGGATCAGTTTTAAATCTTCATAGTCATTTAGAAAGCAAAGCCAGATTGAACGATAGAAGAGAGCCCACCCCGAGACCACCTTTTTCTTTCGGACCAAGAACCGTTTTCCAAGCCACCCAAGAAATTTTGTTTTTTTCATCGTTCCCGCCCCAAAGAAAACAACGTCTAATTTTCTCCAAAAACTCAATAATCGACGAAGGGGCCTTAAACAGGGAGAAAAAATAGATCGGGAGACTACCCAACACAGCTTTAACCAAAGTAAGTCGACCGCCAAAAGAGAGAGATTTAGCCTTCCAGACAGATAGTCTAGAATGAATCCGGTCAATGATGGGTTGCCAATGTCTTTTCAGCGACATATTAGCTCCTACGGGAACACCCAAATATTTGAAGGGAAAAGAAGCGGCATTGCATCCCAAGATACATGCACATCCGTTTACTTCCTCTATCGAAACTCCGATCCCATAAACTTAAGATTTACCAAAATTAAATTTAAGACCCGCACAAGCATGAAAACATCTTAAGATCCTCGCCAAATTGTCAAAATTTGAACTTAACCATTCGCCAAAAAATAGAACATCGTCTGCGTAAAAAAGATGTGATATAGAAGGACCACGGTTAGGGATTCGAACACCACGAAACAGAGATTTTTAGCAAGCAAATTTCATGGCGACATTGAGCCCTTCCATAGCGATAATAAAAAGAAATAGAGAAAGAGGATTGCCTTGACGCACACCCTTGGAAATGTGGAATTCCTTAGTCGTTGAACCGCTAATAAGAACCGAAGCCCTAGTGGATGAGAGACATCCTTTAATCCAGAATCACCATTTCTCACCAAAACTCATTTGCGCCATCACCGAATCAAGGTAATTCCAGTCTATGGAATCAAACGTTGTATCAAAATCAACTTTAAAAAGAAACAATTTTTGTTTCGCCTTCTTTGACCAATTAAAAACTTCATTTATTATCATTGGACCGTCTAAAATGTTTCTACCTTCAATGAAGGCGGATTGTGTTTCAACAATAATTGAACCAATAACCCGTTTTAATCGTGAAGCAAGAGATTCAGCGATAATCTTGTAGACACAACCAATAAGACTGATGGGACGGAACTCATTAATAGAGAGAGAGAGAGGGGGGGAGGGGGTCTTTGGTTTTAGGAAGAAGCTTAATAAAAGAGGAATTGCTTCCCCTAGAAAGACAACCAAAATCTTCAAAGTGTTTAAAGAATCTCATGATATCATCTTGCATCAAAGGCCAATAGTGTTTAATAAACTTGAAGGAAAAATTGTCGGGTCCAGGAGCTTTTTCAACTCCGCAATACCAAATCTCATGATCGTATTTTTCTTGGAAATTTACTAAATTATCCATTATAAATGATTTTTTTTAAGAAAATAACCAATTTGTTTTCAATTCTTGAAAAAAATTACTACCTTTTTTGAATGTCACATTCTGGACTCGTTTTTTAAATTTCAGAGTTTTTTCTTTTATCAGTTTTTTTCAAACAAATTTTTTTATTTATGTCTGAAATATTCATTTCGAAATATTTAATATAACTGTTTTTCTATTAGATGTTTAATTTTAAGCAATAGGATCATTTATTTATATATATATATATATATATATATATATATATATATATATATATATATTATGTTTAACTTCTTGTTATATTTTAATAAAATACGAATTTTTTTCTTAAAATTTTGGAGTTTTTTATTTTCGAAATCCAAAATCCGGAATGATAGTTTGAAATATATTTTTTTCAGAATAAATGTTTTATGTTAGTTTGGAATGTCATCTCAAACCTATTGGTTATTTTGCTAAAAGAAATAGTGTTTTTTAAAAATTAAGAGGTAACCTCTTAAAAATTCAGATATGGCTTGTTTGGTATTCTCTTATAAAAATACATCTGAATTTGATAAATGCCTCTTAAAATTTCAGACTTCAATAAGCATCTGAAAAAGAAAAAGACGCGCGTTGCCCTCCCTTGGTCTCGCTCTTTCTTTTTCTTCTCACGCCTCCAGTTTTCTTTCTCATCGACGCACACAGCCACACCTCCATCCGATCTGCTGAAGCTCTGTTCCCTCCCTGCCATCGTAGTCGTCGGCCTCCTCTCCGCCTCTAGCTCCGTCGTCGGCATCCTCTCAGCCCCAGCTCCAACTGTTGCGCCACAACGACAACGACTCCACCCCCGACGACTTATGCAGGTAATATCTTCGGCCTCCCTCTTTCTCTTGCTATGTAATCTATTTCTCTATGTAATCAGATGTGCTATATCGATTAGTGCTTGAAATTTCGAGTTTTTGTTTCCCCTAAAAGGTACAACTTCATAGAATCGTTGTTGTTGTTTTTTTTTTTTTTCTGAAATCACAGCTGGAATCATATGTGTTGTATCTGTTTTCTGCATATGTTGAAATCAGATGGGTTATGTTAATTAAGCGAGGTGTTCATCAAGAAACCCAACCAGAGCTCTAAATTATATCACTAGAGGGATTGCTTATTTGATTTTAAAATTCATGTAAAGATATTTTTTGATTGGATTCAAGAATCTATCTTCCATCAATATGTTCTTCAGACCCTTTTAGGGCCTCCATTTATGGAGAATTTTGAAAGCAGATATATGAGTTTTAAAAGTTCTACAAAAGGAGTAGAAGAAGATAATAAGGAAAAGGTTATTGATGTGAAAAAGCTGAATAAAATGAGATGTGAGAAGGTATCTGAAAGGGTTGATTAAAGTTGTAATGAAGTGAGGGTTTTCTTTACTTTCTAATGCACTCGAGGAAAATGAAGACGTTGTGGGACAAGATGAACAAAAGGATGGGATAATTGCATAGGAAGCTATTATTGTTGGTTATGCCATATTTGAGACACAAGTATTTATTCATATTGATTTTAGTTTGAATTCTATGTATACAAATAGTATTGGTATTGATCAAATATATGAAGTTGGACCTTATTTGATTTGTATTTGTGTTTAATTTTGATTTATGTTTAATTTGAATTGTGTATGGCGTTTATATTTTTCCTTATAATTTTTCAAGAGGTTGATTCGATTATTTTATAAACAGAAATTTTGAACTTAGTAAAAACTTATACAGAATGGTAAACTGGTCATTTTCATAATTCAGCACAACAATTTAGTGGTTCCAACCAAACAGCATATTAAAAATTCAGATCTTAAAAATTTAGACCCTCTTAGAAATTCAGACATCTTAAAAATTCAGATCCTTTCAAACAACTCCTAAGTTGATGACCCATTTCAGATGGCTCTACGTGTTTGGTTTATAGCATTTGATTTGATATATTTTGAATTTAAAATGTTTCTTACAGTTTAAAATTTTGATAAATTTACAAAATCCATAATCATTGGATAATATCATGTTTATCTGATTTTAAAAATCTTCTTATCTTTTGTATTTTTTAAAATACAAATACTTTAGAATAGAGATCAAACATTGTTTTTATGGCTAAAGTTATTGTTGGCGGACTAGCTGAGCTAGTTGATAAACATGTTAATAAAAAATTGACTAAATATATCTGAAATATATAAAGTTACATATAAAACATATAGAAGATTGAGTTTTTTTATATTTAATAAATGACATATTTTAAAGGATTTAAAAAAAATAAAAATAAAAACAAACAAACAAACAAACAAATAAGCTCGTTGAAGCATTAGTTTAAATTATTTTAAAAAAAATAACCTATAAACAGATGTTGTTTTCAAAAGAATTAGTTTTGTCATCCAGAAAGGGCTAGCGGCGCAGCTTGTTGCCCGTTTGCCTTCCATCGATATGTATTGAACGATATATATATATATATATATATATATATATATATATATATATATATATATATATATATAAACTTGTAAACTATTTTTTAGTTTCCAACAAATAAAAACTTAATAACATCATCACCTATACTAGTTGTGGTGTCACATATAATAACCTAAATAGTTAAAGCAATATCATCATCACCGATCATCAAACGTCCATGGCAAGATGGCAAGAATCACCTTGGTAGCATCTTTCTTTATTTTTCTAATGCGTCACTATGTGCTTTTATTAATTACCATGTAGGCATGTATGGCCAACATTTTTGGATTAAATTCATCCTTATACTCGATATCTATACCTCCTACTTATATAAACATAATCTTTTACTTATCTATTGTGAGTGTGTCGTTAATGTGCTTAGAAAGAAAGTCTATATGAAAACCATAAGGGTATGATTTTAATAAGACCCATTTTTTCTTTTTCTTTTTTGTTCTACAAATACATATCAAAATTATATCCTCTACCATGTTATAACCCACAAAAGCACAAAAAGATGCTTAGGCTCTTTTTATAAATCGCATATCTTTCCAATACTCTGTATTCTGTAACACATTCTACCACGAGTTCAAAATAAAGCGGTTAAAAACAAACAAATTTATACACACAATTTAAGAAAATGTTGATCAAGTTTAACACTCCAAACTCTAACTAATTATCTCTCAAAAGAAATTGTAAACCAAATTAAAACTAGAAATTCAAAATGGTTAGGCGAAAATTCAGTTCTCAGTATTTTCATTTTCATTTCTTGTATGTTTTTAATACGTAGGTGAGTTAGTTGTACATGTTTTGAATGAATGATTGTGAAACTCAAACAGCAATAAGCTCTCTTCTAATCATCTAATGTGATTTATATTATATTGTATTATATTAGCTCCATCTAAATGAACCTCCTTGCACTTCTTGAAACCTCTTCTTTAATAATCTAAAGCTACTATTACCTTTTTCACCCCATTTCACCGATGCACTTCTTAAAAACTCTGATCCCATTGGGATTGGTGACTTTGGAGTTGACTCGTAGGATGCTGTCTCAACATAATCTGTTGCACATACAAAATACAAAATGAATAAAATCTCAAAATATTTTCCTTTCCAAATATTTATTAAACATGATCACCTGAAGATGCAGGCAAGTGATATTGTAATTTTAAAAACTTAGAGGCCTCTCCGTCTTTTTTATGGCATAAAACACGTATTAATGTGTCCACGTCATCCAATGATCTTTGTCCCTGAATTTTGGAACCAAATCCTGTTGACAAGTTTTCACTTGCCATCATCAACATATGAATCACTGATTCCGCCTGTCAATTTTATTTTATTTTTAAGTATATAAATAAGCATTTTAATATGTTATCATCATAACTAGAAACAAAATTAGGATGAAGGATGCATACATCGAGAGAGAAAAGGCTTAAAATTTGATGGGCAAGTTTTGATTCCACTTCCACTAGTGAACGGGGAAGACCTTCTCCATCAGCAACAAAAAGATCCTGTTTATTAAATTAAATTAAATTATTATTTTTCATTTTTTTTTATTTAATTAATCATATCTGGTTCTGGTTAGTTTTAAGTTTTAATGTACCTGTAACATATTCAGGTCATCTTCCATCATGATGATATCTGAATCAGAAAATGCACGGGAAGGACCTCCATCCAGAAGTATCCAAATGTACCCTTCCTATAACATGAAAAATGTTATATTAATATCTGAAAAAAAAAAAAAAAAGACCTTGAGTAATAAATATCTTAATGTATCATAATTCATACCAGGGCTGCCCTACAAATACTAGCCACCACCATATCTCTTAGTGTATCATCAATTAGACCACATACATGGTTAAGAACCTGCAAAATGCTCACCAGATTAAACCATACATACATGATACATGTATGTATGTCTGAAGAGGGAAAGATAGAGGGCTTACACTATCGATATGTGGAAGTAAATTTTCCAACCGAGATCCTTCAACAGTACCATGATATAAACGGAGAAGAAATGAATCTCTCAAATCCCAGAAGATAATTTTGGTTCCTAAAACAATGGATTTACATTTCAGACCTTGCCCTTGAATAACATATAATAGAATATAATGTAATGTAATGTAAAAACAATAGCAACGTACTTTCATTTTTATTTGTTTATGGCCAAATTCCACAAAAACTTACTTTCATTTCTTTCTATTACATCATCATTACTTTCAACTTTATAAATGAAATATAAATATAAATATAAATATAAATATAAATATAAATATAAATGAAAGTAGGTTGCTATTTCTTGCATGAACTCACCAATTAAGTCGCATATTTTTCTGATAGCATCGGCTACTGAATCCCTGATGCTGTCAAAGGTGGCTACAAATAGTTCATCAAGTGATTCACTGTCAATGAGCATAGAATCTGTTTTTCCCATAGTAGATGTCCATGATTTTTTAATTCCATCTTCCAGTAAATTAATTTGCTTCTGCATATACTATATAGTATATACCATAATAAAATCATATTATTAATGATATGACTATGATCAGATGTGACATGGAAATGGAATATAAATTGGCAGTTGGCACTCACTTGAAGAGTATTTAATCTGACACACAGCTTCACAGCTGTCAACTCTTTTAATTTCTCCTCAACTTCCTCATCAAGAAATACACTCTCAACCACTTTTTTCTTGACTATTGGGAACATTGTGTCCTTGTAACGAGTCAAAGGAGGGGTAGCAGGATATAAATGGTGCTTCTCAACTGTGTTTAACAAAATATATATATATATATATATATATATATATATATATGTAATTATAACTTAGATCAATTAAAAAAATCTTGACAAGTATACATTTTAGTAGATAGATGTGTGGTACCTAACTGGCTAAACAATTTTTAGCAAATAGCCATCAAGGGCATGGAAAATTATTGAAAGCAATGCTTGCAAGTGTGATATGTCCATTGGAAGATTCAGCCCGAATAATTGGTCAACAGTCTGCAAAAGATGAAACAAAAATAAATAAATAAATCAAAAGTGAATGTTTTTTTTAAAAAGAATCAAGTGTAATTTGTTTCATGATTTTGCATACCTCCTCTATAATCCTGAAAACTTCAACAACTGAAGCTGCTTGCTTTTGCTGATTGGATAAGGGTTCCCAGACCTGAAACATGATTAAAATGTCCCTCATATTTCACCCTAATTTATTAATTACCATACATTTACAGAGTAAGGGCAAAATTGTAAAATCGACCATCAGTAAAATACAAGTCATTACCTCAAGGTGGAAAGCACGTCCTGTCCATTCGAGTATGCGTTCATGTTGCGAGATAAGCCAATCCAGAATGATCGGGCGGCTTATTTTATTAATCTGCATGAGTTTAGCATGGAAAGAGATGGGTCATAATTTATAAATTTATCTAAATGAAAATATTTGGTTATATAGATATTCTACAAGAATTCATAAGAACTAAATATAATAGAAGCTCATTAAACCCAAAACAATATCATAATAAATATATATATATATATATATATATATATATATATATATATATACACACACATTTTCTAGTTATTTTAGAAAACAAAACTGTAACTAAATCCATTTCCCCTGCTAAAGAATAAGAATTAACAAAGTACACATAAAACAACTAGGTTATAATTATATCTTTTAAAAAGGAACCCTCAAAAAATCAAAGGCTTTAAGGTTCTAAAATTCACTAACCTGATAGAAATCTATAGAAAATGACCCAACACCATTTTTTTCATCTTTAGATTTAAAAGATTGAATCAAGTAATGCTCCAAGCGATGAGCTAAAGAAAGCACTGATATAGCATCTACAGAAAAGGATACATCTTCTAGAAATGGTTTCTACAAAATAAGCATAACCATATTATTAAGATGTTGAAGCTTGATGCAAAATAGAGATAAAGCCAATTTTGAAATTAATCGTAAGAAACAAACCAATCTTTCTCCATAAAACTTGTGCAAATATACAGAGGCCACCATCCCTGCATCTGGACACCATTGGGACAAGATGGGTGAAAAGACAGACACTTCTCTTTCAGCAATAACTTTCAATTCACTTGCAAGTATAGCCAATGGATGCTTCCCTTCCATTTTAGATATGAGATTTATGGTATCTTCCACCCGCCTGCATGCAGCTTCAACAGATCTCTCAACATAAACCCTAACCCTAATTGCAGCAGAATCATCTGTTGCAACAGCCAATCCCATAGAAACTAGCTTCCGGAAAAAAGCCGGCTTCTGAAGAGGGAATATAACAAAAAGGGAATGATTAGTTAAGTACTAAAACTAAAATCAACAAAAAACACAATCAGACAAAAGAAAAAGGAAATGACCTCACTGAAATGCAAGTGATAATCTTGCAGCCTGTTGTCAAACCAAAGGTTTATTGAACAGAATACTGCTTGCACCAAATTGCATCTGGTTTTGACACCATTGTTGTCAATAGTACAAATTACTCTGTCAATACATAGTTCCTCATTTTCATCTATATGATTGATGGATAAAACTTTCTGCACTTGAAGGTTTGCTTGATCTAGTAGTACCATTTCTTTTGCCTCGATGAACTTCAGTAATCAGAAAAAAGTTCATTAAATCTAAACTAAAAGTGAAATTCTCACTAAAAGGAAGAATTTTTTACCTGTTGGAAAAGCACCCATCCATATAAAGCATCATGCATCTTCTGAGTTATGCCTAATGTACCCCAAGTCAACTTGATAAGCTTTAAATAATCCGCATGTTCCTATTACAAGATCAAATTATAAATATCAAGAATCAGACCAACAGAAGTAAACATAGCAACAACAAGAAATACACCTGGATGAGCTGTCCTTCATCCAGAATGTCAAATACTCCAAACAGTAACTTCTCATAGAGTCTTATGTTTAAGTGATAACCAGCATTCCAGTAAGATGTATGAGAACTCCCCCTCATGGATGACAGAGAGGATGCCACCTGTCTGATAGCTAGTAGGACTTCAGTACGATCAGCAGGAGTCATGATGATGTTCCATTCCTACAGTTGTCAAATAACTAGTTCTCATGAACACTAAACTCAGATTTGTCAGAATACACAAAGTAAGAGATGGAAATATTAAATACCTCTGGACTTCTGATCTTGTCAAGTAAAATCCCAAGTTCTTGCATTTCAGGATAACTGACGGATGCGAAGAGTTCTTCTAGAACATTTGCCTATAAGAAATATATTCAAGTTACAAAAACAAGAAATTATTTAAATTTTAAACCATAACAAGACATTGGCCATACCTGGCGTTTCCTCCATTGTGTGTATGATCTTTCAACCAGAAAATCATTCAGTTGTATGCCACTTAAGAGCTCAATTGAGATTTGAGGAATATCAAGTGGTACATGTGGCTTTCTCATAGAAAACTGCATCAACTTTTGCCTAATGCGTTCATCCATTGCCTCTGATATCTAATTAAACCAGTGAGCAAACATTGTTATGACATGTGTAATGTGTTAGATTATTCTTTTTCTTTTTTTATATTTCTCTTTTGATGATGATAGTAATGAATGGGAAATGGTTCACCTGCATCTGAGCACGAATGGTGTCGATGTGCTCAAATTGGTTTTCAACAGAGTGGGACCTCATGTGTCTTCTATCTCTCCTATTTTTTAACCCGGTTAGAAATTTTGAACCCTTATCTTTCTTCGGGTTCTCCAAAGAATGAATTGTGATCCTAATGTTCAAAAAAAAAAGATCAGATATTCACATATGATTATCTATTTATAAAAAAAAGTAAATTTCCAAAAGGCCACTTTTATATTAGATTTTTAATCTTTTTTCCATACATATGAAAGCTAAAAGTCAAAAAGTAAAATAGAGAGTGAGAATGAGAGAGTACCCAGAAAATGAAATGCATGAAAGCAGTACTTCATAGGCAGATTCCCGCAAGTCATCATCCGATAATCCTTAAAAGTTACTAAAACTATGTATCAGTCACTCAAAAAGAAAACCACAGCATCAGGTTATAGAATTGGAGAAGGAGGACAGCAAATACCTGTTCTTAAAACAGGGAGTCCTAAAGAAGGTACATCCATATTTTTTGCAGACTTTGAACTTGAGGGCACCATATATGGATCATTCACCCCAGAAGTAGTTGCTTCTGAATCATTAGAAGAAACATGGGGAATAGATGAATGTTGTCTATCACTGTTGATCTCAACTGGGGGTGGCACTCGTCTAGGTGGAGATCCAGCAGAGTCTGGTGCAGACACAAGAAAAAAAGAATCCCCTGATTGGGACTGTATCTGCAGAAAATCCCAAATAAACTGTCACAAAATTCACAACATCTGCAACCATGCATAATGGTACTGATATCATATTACCAAATAAGAAATCCTTAGTCCTATCTAATTTCTTGCAACCCCAGAAACAGCATATTGAAGCCTTACCATTGGCGGGAACATAGATTCATCAGTGTGCTTTGTGGTTGCTTTAGAAACATCAAACACTCCACCTGATTACAAGAAAATATCATAACTACAGTGAGCTACGTGATAAAAACTGCTCTAAAGACTAAAAATAGTATAGAATGCTACAAATTGGAGATTTGGGGTTCTAAAAAGTTAAATATCTTCGTATAAAGTTCTAAAAAGTTAAATTGGAGATTATGTTTAATCTTGGGCGGAATGAACAGACTACTTTACAAGGGAATCCCGTTGACCTCTACATCTTTGACCAAACCCTAATAGATACCAGAAACAATACTCCCAACAACTTATGTTCATTGATTATCAATATAGTTCATTGGTTATTATAGTGTCCCCACTTCGGTTCCACAAGCAGATATGAGTTTTGAACTTCAGTTATCAACCACTTTACTTTTAGCTGCAAAAGTAATATTGATTCAATATATTCTAAAGGGAGACAAAATGCTAACCGCGCTAAATTTTACACATGAAAAGATTACCATAAATATATAAATTCGGTGTTGTATGGAACAAAAAACATATCATTTCTTTTTCAAGAGATTGGCATGACATGGCATCACGAGTCAACAAGCATGAAATTTAAGGAACTATCGATTACGTTGAAAATCAAAACCATTGACTCATACAATTACTTTGCCTTCACTTTAGCTTACGGCAATAGCTTCCTCGGTCATTAAAACAAATAAAAACTACTTAATGAAATAACAAAAGCTAACTAGGTAAGAAAATAAGAAATTACCACCGGATTTTATGCATTCGAGGACATAATCGGCGCTGATAACATCGAAATCGATGACGGAACCAGGAAACTTTCGAATATCCGTGATCAGCTCTGAAGAGACTATGAAGTTAAGGAGCTTCCGGCGATCGCGACGGTAGCGCTGTAGCAGAGGAGACTCCATATTTTGAGAGTAATTTGGGATTCTCCGCTCACATGTTCGGAGTGTACAACCAAATGATGCAAAGGGGAAAGAAAAAATTTGGAGACGCGCGAAGATAACAAATAAGAAACGGCGGGGGTAATTGGTAATTGGGTATGGCCGGATTCCTTGACCTTTTTCAGGCTTCTTTTCTCTTTTCCTTTTCTCTCTCTTTGAACGGTCAGCTTACAATAATTATTAATAATTATACCACTTAAAATAATAGATAATATACCAAAAAAGATAGCGTACTTTTAATTTATTTTAATTACTAATTTACCTATTTAATTGTTTTTTAATAATTGAATCATTATATTTTCTATTTATTAAAAAATTAATTTTTGTTATCGAATTTGGTAAGTAAACAAAAATATATTGTTTGGAGTGTTTACTATTTCAATTTATGATTTTACTATATAATTGTTAACAATTTTATGAAGTACGAAAAATGAAAGAGACCGAGTGTGGAGACATTTGCTAGTCTTCTCCCCACTCCCCTACTCAAAATATTTACTTTAACCTTATTTTTATGCATTTGGAATATTTATTGTGTTAAGGTTTCTATGAAGAAAAACATTTGTTAACTTCTTGATCATATGATCGACCCGTTACAAATAAGATCAAAACTTATATTGACTATCGTTTTGGTTTTTGGATGGATTGTGACCTTTTGTGGACTTGAGAAATAAGGATTTCACTATGGATAAATTGTCTTAAACAGTGTCTCGTGCATATTGAAAAAACAAGAGAAAATATGCATATATAATCAGTGTTTATACTATTTACATTTGATATTTTTGGTTTTCTAACACTAAAGGTTGTGAAGCTCCTTAATAAATTCCAAAATATCATATAATAGAACCCCAAATTTATGTTTGTAACTTTTAAAAGATTTAGTTTTTCTATCTATAAAGAATTTAACACCATATTTTGTTGACAGTTTGTCTTCCATCTAATATAATTGAATCTTGAGTTGAATGGCATAAAGAAAAAGCAATATAAATTATATCATGTGTGTCATGATGATATTGTGACTACTAAAACAATGGTTGGCCTGCTAGATGGGAAGTTTGTTATGAAAGACTAAACGTGCCATAATATGAATTATGAACATTCAAAGAGTGTGATTTTATAATTTCAATCGTTGTCTTACATAGATATATAATATATATAATTTCAATTGTTATCTTACATAGATATATAATATATAAAAATAACTTATGTGCTTGACAACAATTTCAAATAACAAAATTGTGTGGGATTAAGGCCCACAACAATATGCATGGCTTAAGAATGAGAAATAAAATATAATGTTTGTATAGACAATATAACTATCAATCTAAGTAGTACTTGAATGTGTAAAATCAAATGTATGTCTATGATGAAGTATACAGAAAACATAACAAGGAAACTAATTTTCGGTAAAAAAAGAGTCAAACCTAATTCTAAAATTAATTTGGTATTTATAAACAGTTAATGTAACGCCCTGTTTCGAATCGTTTCCCGTTGCGGGGTGATGATCAAGGAATGGGTATTAGCAGACTTAGAACCCTTGAAGAATTGAGTTTGGGCTCATTTGGAGGTAGATGATGTAGTTTGGATGATCCGAGTATCCGGTTTGTGTTTTAGAGCCCAAGGGTATCGGTAAAGGCGTTGGTCGGGCCTTTTATGAATTTTGGATTTAATTTCGGTTGGTTTTCAAACTAAATAAAGTTAATAGAAGTGTAGGGTTTCTCGTTACCTTTCCGTGGATATAAAGAACGTTGAAAACGGATAAGGGATGCAAATGTTATGATCATTTGATGTTATAAGGGTTTAGACCAAACCGGGTACGCATGGCATACAAGGGAGGTACGCATGGCGTACACGGGAATTTGGACGCGGATGCATTTGGGAACGCCCTGCGTTCCCCAAGGGAACACGCTGCATTCGTCAGGCCAGATTAAAGCCCTAATTTAGGGTCTTGGGCCCTATTTAAACTCCTTAACTCACCTCCAACCCTCATTTCCTTCAGCCTCCATCCTCTCTAACCCTAAGAACGAAACCCTATCCTCAATTTGAGTGATTCATGAGCTTCAAAGTGATTTATGAGTATTTTGGTGCTTGAGGAGGAAGAAGGAACTTCTTGAAGAGTCATTGCATGACTTGGAGCTTTTGGATCGAGGATTTATGCACCTAGATCTATCTTCTGGAGGTATAAAGTCTCGACCTTGACAACTATTTCATGTAGATCTAGCTAAGTGATATTTTGTTATGAATTTGGTCCATTTGGGGTGGTTCTTGTGAGTAGAAGTTACTCCAGACCCTTTGAGCTTCATATTTGGTCCTTGTTGAGGTTATGGAGTCATAAAGTTTGGATCTTGATAGGTAAAAACCTTTCATGCATGATTTTGTAGTCATTTGATGAAGTTTGGGGACTTAGGGTTTTGATTTGGGTCCTATTGGGTTATGCTAAGTCATAAAGTTGGAAACTTTATGACTTAAGAAGTCCCTTGAAATCAGATCTGGAAGTTTGGATTGAGGTCTTAAGGTATTAAGAAGTTTTTAAGACATTTTAAAGTGATTTTGACCTTTGGAGTTCATCTTTGGTGTTGGTCTTCATTAAGCCATACAAAGGCTTAAAGCCTTTAACTTTATGGATTAAGTCACTGATATGAAGATATGTTGAGGATTTGGACGTTGGACTTAAGCTATTAAGACGTTTGGTGTGATTTTTGGTCAATGGTCGGGAATGACGTGCGTTCATCTCGGGAACACGATGCGTTCAGGCAAGGGGTCCCGATCCGTGGTCTGGCAATGAACGCCATGCGCTCCACCAGGGAACGCAACGCGTTCGGTTCATCAGTGGGCTTTTGGGCTTTTGGTCATGGGTTTGTTTTGGGTTTGTTTCATTTTGGACTTGCTGTTTGGGCCTTTGGGCCATCTAAGATTTATTATTGGATAAGGAATTATTGGGCTTTAGGATAAAGCCCATACGGGTTGGGCCCAATTTGGAAAATTGGGCCATTAGTGGGCTTATGGATCTTATAGTTTTGGGCCTTTTGATTTTAGGCTTGGGCCTCAGTTTTGGTTCATGTTGGGTCAGGGGTAAAATGGTCATTTTACCCCAAGTATTGATTATGGATCATAGTTTGGAACCCAATTGCTAATTGGGTGTTATTTTGGTATTGATAGCTCGGGAAGTCGTCAGAGTAGCAGCTAGGGATTTCTTTCAGTGAGCTTCTGCATTCGAAGTGAGTCTCCTCACTGTTCTATGGGTCGAAGGCACCAATGTCGGCCCATCTGGTTTATGTATTATAGGAAGACCAGGGGTAACCCCTGGCATTTTGTATGAAAGACCGGGAGGCAGCTCTCGGCAAACTGTATGCAAGACCATGGTTTTAACTATGGCAGATAATTGGTTAAGTAGTTGTAGATTGTATGCTAGTTGTATTTGTGATTTTGCATGGAAGACCAAGAGGTGGCTCCTGACACTTGTATGTAAGAGTTTTGGTCCCCAGCTTGGCAAGAAGACCACGAGGCGGCTCGTGGCATATTGGCAAGACTATGGTTGGCACATAGCACTTTTATTGATTAATTGGTTAAGTATGATATATATGGATCGTTTGATATGTTTGGTATGTGGTATTTGGGGAACTCACTAAGCTTTGTGCTTACAGTTTGTGGTTTCAAGTACTTCCGGTTCGAAAGGGAAGGGCTCGACTTGATCGTAGTACATACACCCGTGTTTTCTGCAATATGTGATATTTGGGAATGAACTTTGATAATTGTTTATTTTGAAATGCTTTTAAATGTCTGGATAAAGTTACAATAGTGTTTTGATTATAATAAAAATGAAATTTTTACCCTTGTTTTTCGGGATGTTACAGTTAAAACTTGCTAAAACCGAAAATTTGCAACTATCAACAATCAACAGTGAAACATGAATTTGATATTTAATTATTTTTGTAATATAATTAATGAAATAATATATGATAATAACCTAATAGCGTTAAAGTCTAAGGGGATGACTTATGGACGTTTTTTAGATGAATTTTGGATGTTGTATTATGAATATGTTATGCAATTTACATCTTTATGTGGTATGCAATTGGCATGTTAGGTGGTATGCAATATATGTTAACAACTTACATGTTATGTAATTTACACTTAACAAGTCATATATGGATTTGGATGGTGAAATTTTAGTTTTCTTTTTATTTTCGTGTTATTGGTTGATGTTAATCTGACAAAGGCAAAGAAGAACTGAATATTATGCAAGTAGGCTAGTATAGTCTTTTGCATGAAGATTACTTGATTTTATGATATGGTTATACGTTATGCTTGAGGGGTTAATGGTGGAACAGTACTAGGGTTGTGAGCCTATAATACTTATTGTTGATGACTATACGAGCACCAGAGTTGTTAGTTGTCATTGATGACTAGACAAGCACTAACGTTGTTAGTCGTCGTTGATGACTAGACATGTATAGGAGCTATTACTCGTTGTTGATGACTAAACATGCACTGAAGCTATTAGTCATCATTGACGGTTAGACGACACTAAAGCCATTAGTCTCCGTTGATCAGGTGGACCGGTACTAGAGCCGAGAGCCTTGTTTTTGTATGTATTGTATATGTGATGTAATATGTGGTATATTGTGAAATTCACTAAGTTGTGTGCTTGCGTTGTGAAGTTGTATGGTTTTCATATTGTTCATGTACGAAAGGGAAAGATGCGGCATGACAGTACATTCACATCGATGGATATTCATGACCTAGACTTCCGTTGATTCTATGTTATTAGTCTGTTTTGGAAACCATGTTTTTACAATTTTGAACAAATGAGTTTTATATTACTTTTGGAAACGAAGATGGATATTATACTCTTTTTTGAAAGCGAAAATTTGGTTTTAGATTTGGGACGTTACACATGTGTATTAAAATATAAAAAAACATGGCATCTTTATATATAATTACATGTGATTATATATATATATATATATATATATATATATATATATATATATATATTAAAGTTGAATATATTCATATGTAATTATATTTCATTATCGTAGTTAAGTATATATTTTAAAGTATAACATCTTAGTAAGGAAAAAACAAAAATACAATTCTATAATTATACTATCTAACATTTATCAAAATGTTGTGTAACTATTCTTAATGTCACATCCTAAGAACAATGTT